ATATATAATATATAATATATTTTTATAACTTTCAAAAGTTCTATTTTTTCACATATCTATAAGTTTTGGATTTTACTGTACGAATAAAAATTACATAAACAGATCTAAATAAGGTTTTATAAAAATAAAATCTGATTAAGATTGACAACTCAAGTGACATTGTTGATTACGATAGTGGCTCAGATAAAAATACATTAAAAAACTGGTGGTGCGGGTTCATTATCATGACGAGGCGTTCTTTTTTTGCACGTATCATTCTATCGCTGTATTATTTCTGTACGAAATTTATGTCTACCGTAAACGAAGATTAAACGACATCGTACATTAATCGTATCAAGAATATACGAAGCAACTCTGCAAACTCACCTTGTATGGATTCCGGCGAGGTTGGCTCCTTATCGATTCGGCCGAGCGCGTCGCTACCTGAAACAAAAAGCGCAACCAAGCCCTCGTTAGTGACGCCATACTATAAGCCGATCGGGAAAATCATTCGTTTTCCGTAAGAGATACACGCGAGTACTTTTTGCTTTGATCGAATCGGCAAGCATTGTAGTTTTATTTTAATTACATTAAGGTTATTTATAACCTACTCTTTTGGGGATAATAGCACGCTTCTTCATCAGTGAAGAAACAATGACGAAGACATTGATTTATATTTGCAAGTTGCAGTCTTGTTGTCTTCATTAATTTTAATAAAATTATAAAAGAATAGTGAGAGAGAAAGATAGAGAGAGATAGAGAGAGAGAGAGAGAGAGAGAGAGAAATAATACAAGAGAAATAATCCTCGGTATTGTCATACATATTCAAATAATTTATTATGACGTTCATATTATTATTTTATCATCATATTATTTTTATCATCATATTATTTTAATAAAATTAATAAGAAAGATTAAACTTCAAATAGAACTAGTATCTAAATTATATAAATGTTAGACTATTTTTACGTTAAATTATGTCTGCTAATTATTAAACAATAATTGCATTTAGATTCTTTAATATAATTCATTCTTGCATTTATTTCCTTAATGGAATATAAAAATGTACAATAAAAATTATACATAATGTATAAATCAATCATATTAAGAAATTTTACAACAGTTGCAAAGTTGCTTTTTCTGCTAAAGGCAGCCAGTGTTTCTCAATATTCCTCAATGTCTGACAAATGTGTTATGTCACATATAGTTCTATTCTATTCGAAATCTATCTGTCTTGATTAAAATCGAGAGATCAAGAGAACTGAATAGTCCAGATAGATCAGAGTACATCACATTTATCAATCAGGCTGCGGGCCGAATTATGCTAATACTCGAGCGATCATGATGTATAGTGGGGAATTGTGCCAATCGCAATTTCTCGAAAATAGGGCGGCTCGCCGTTATCCTGCCGTAAATGCGATCGCTCGATATTCAAATAATCTATTTGACGGACCCTTTTTCCAAAGAGGACGAGAAAGGGAAGATGGTGGTAATTCGGCGCGAGGATGACCACCGTACGTCACATGACGAGAGGGACGAGTTCATGGGGGTCCGGCAGACCCCAGAGGCGACCACCTACTACCCCCTAGGGGGTCGCAACTCACCCCTGAAACGACTGTATTCAGATAATCCCACCTTTCCTTTTCTCCGTCTTATTTGCCCGCAACGACATTTCAATACGTGCTCTCACTGGATAACCCACCACAAATATGGGCGGATATACGCGATCACTACGTGGAAAATAGTAACGGGAGTAACGACTACATATGGTAGTACGTAGACGTTATGTAGAAGTAAAAGGGAAAAGATTTCAGTCTTGATTCTCGTATTTCGTACATATCATCGTACATATTGGAAGATTTCTCAATGAATTATTCATATAATGAATTTAATATTGATCAGTAATATGCATTTAATTTTTCTTTAATTCAAGATGCGCGTATTAATATAACAATTAGATAAAATATTTCCTTCATTTCAAATTGTTTATATATTCCACCAATATCTATTTGATCGGCGATCTATAATATGTTTCATTAAAGTTATCCAGGTCGCTATAATAAAACTAAACAATGTTCCTTAACAAGACCGTTTTCATTATCGAGCGAAAAATTCCTAGAAACTAGTACACGTTTACATTAATTAATTAAATATAAAGAGCGACCTTATAAGTCAGAGCTCGAGCTCTTCTCTCTTATGCACGCATGTAATAATGCCTAAGGCAATCTTTTTTATAGTTTTGTAGAAAAAAAAGAATCGTGAGGGAAGATATGATGCATAATTCATCAGTAGCGAGGTACGATCGATTGTTCGATATTAGAGGACATCGATGACAAGATTCTTTTTCATGAGCGACAACGCGCGTTTAATTCTATCAATCGTAGTTATGCGCATTAATTTTCAAAACTTTTTCAGCGCATAAAAATTAAAAAAAATGTATACATGGGATTTTTCAACATATTTTAATATTTATCAAGACAGTCTTTTTGTGTTCGCGTATATGGAAAGAACGATTTTGCTGAAATATTTAAAAATTTAGTTAAATATAGATCTGAAAATAATTTTTGTTGAACCATCAAAATAGTAATTATGTAGTAATTCAAACTGAGTAATTACTAGAATGTTAAAACTTTTTGTAACATTGTTTTTCATTGTTTGAATTTCATTGTTTGAAAGCATGAGAAACAGTGCTCGAATATTATGCAATTATTTTGATGGTCAAACAGTGAATTTTCAGATCTATATCTAGAATTATTTTAGCTAAATGTTCAGATTCTTCTGCAAAATCATTCTTTCCATGTGACTCCTTTATATACAGAAGCCTCACAAAATTCTTGTTTAATGGTAGACATCAGCGAGCGCGACGATTCATCAAAATGAAATACCGGCTGTCGAAAGAACACCCACCCATTCCTTTAAATAGGAATGAACGTGGATAAATACGATGCACCTTCGTCGTTCGACGACTCTCCGGAGGGCCGTAAAGAAGTTACGGTTTGCACATGCACTTTTTGCCCCGTTGCACATATCACGCGAACGACTATAACCCCACTGTCGCTTTCTCTTTCCTTCTCTGTTTGCTGTCATACCGTAAAATAAAAATTACGCGTTCATATTATTTATTAATCAGCGATAATTTTAACTTCAAAAATCAATCTCAGTGAAATCTTCAATGAAACATTGAGTGTCAAATAGTAACTGGTAAATTTTTGCTTCAATGCAACTTTCATAGAAAAAGAAACTGATTAAATTAATTGGAATTCTGATTAAAAATAGACAAATCAGAATTTTCTGATTGAATCTATTATAATTCTAGTTAAAATAATCAGAATTTTTATTGATATTACCTGATCAGAATCTTTTGGTTCATCTATTTTCCAGACAGAAATTTTTCTCAGTGCAATCTTTTTCATATAGCATCAGAAATATGAAGAAATATAGTAGATAGCGACGTATTATTCTAACACTGAGAAAAATGTTCTAATCAAATCAAAAGAGTTTAACAAGAACAATATTGTATTTTGATGAAGACAGATTATCATAATCAGAAATTTTATTCAGTCTCATTAAAATACTACTTTTGTTCAGTTTTGTTAATTTAATCAGAACATTTTTTTCAATAAATATACATATTCTTATTAACATTAACTCTCATATATATCACCTTTTACATAATTGTAATTCTTATTATTAATCTTGCACCCTTACACATAATTCAGAAAATTTGCTCTAGAATACGAATAAAAAATTTTCCTCTCTTTTATTCTCTATTTGTCCGAAGCAGTCAATTCACTCAACTATTTGCGTCGTCGGCCGAGATTTCCAGACATCAATTCTGAAGTACGTCACGGCGTTGTCGGACCTCACTTTTTCACTTATTAATTCGACACGTCCGCGCCAGCCGGAATCGCGTGTTTGCGGCTACCGTCCCGGATACATCTTGGTATTCATAAAGGGCAGGCTTATATACCTTCCTGTATAAAGCGCACACCCATCAGCAGCCCCATTTAACGTATATGTACACGTGACACCTGTGCCGATAACTTCAATATCGCGGACAGGTGCTCTCGTCAAGCACTCGACATACGACCACGAAGACGGAAGCGTGTCGAGACCGCTATTATCTCGCGATTACGATCTCGTTTCGCCAAAGGCCGGTTATCGATTGCATGGATCGATCTCTTCCTTTTCCTTTATCGCAATCAGTTAGACCGCGTGGACTTTAATAAACAATGAGCGATGCAAAAATGAATACCGAGTTTGCTTATTAATAAAAATTCAAGCATACACTTATTGAATTAAGATTGGGGAAAGTTGTACGTAGGTTAAAAATAATTTCAGATCATTTTGATACAACTTCGTAGAAGTTGAATAATTACTCAACAATATAAAATTCCATGCCTTCGGTTAATCGATTAATTCATAAAATTCGATCAATCCTGCGCATCCATATAGGTATACGTGCCATGGACGGAAACGAGATTTTAATATTTAAGCTCGATAGCACGATACAATAAGTATAATAAGCATAGAAGCGACCGCCAGCAGGCGGTTGCAAGAGACGGTTGCAATATTAATGCTGACATTTCGGTGCTTTGCGGTAGTTTAACCACACTCCAGTCCCTCGCTTTAATGGATGCGGCTTTCCGACAGGGACGCTATGCCACGACTATGCCAATCTCGTCACGTATGGCCGTATATTGCAACCGATATATCGATCTTTAAAATAAAACGGAATAAGAGAAGAATATTAAAAGAATTTACAAAATAAAATTCTATTTCAATTAGGCAATTGTGTACACTTGATTAATAAGTCATTTAAATAATTTGAGGTTTAAAGTTCAAAGTATAGGTACCACGTATACTTTAAGTATCCATGCGATGGTAGTAACAATCCATTTGACATTTTCGATTGATTCATAATATCGTAATGTTTGTACTTTACGTAACATTCCTAAAAAGAAAACCTTGTGTTTAATTTATGAATATTTCAAATTTTTAATATAAGATAATGTATATGTCACATGCGTAACGGACCTTATATTAAATAGACCCATAAGATAATCATTTTGTATGTGTCATACAGTAAATAGTAATGCAATGATGCCTATTGAGTAATGCAATGATAATGATGCGTAATTAAAAAATTCTTTCTTTATGATTTATATCGTAGCATATAGATGTCCGAATCCAAGTCTGAACAAGTCTTTTTTCGTATATAAAATTTTAAGAATAATTTATATCAATATAAAATTCTGTCATTCAAAGTACTGAAAAAAATAGTTTGGTTACAACTACCAAATATTGAGTAAAATAATTTCAACCAAATGTTCAGATAATATAATTTTATCTTTACAAATATTTAGTGAGTATCATCAAACGTTTATCAACGTTTGTAAAGTTAAAACTATGGTTTGATTATATTATCTAAACATTTAATTGAA